ACCATAAATCTGCAGCCTCCCAGCTCTTGACTGTCCTCTCTCTCACATCGCCCCATAACTTTATCAACCCATACTGGTCACAGCGACTTGGCAAGATGAAGGTATGTCCTCGTTCTCCCAATTGCTCCTGAGTGCACTCGCTGACAACGGCGCTACAGTTCCCACAAATCTACAATGTCTACGCCATTTGCGGCTTCGCCGCGCTTGGAGGTATCCTCTTCGGTTTCGACATCTCGTCGATGTCGGGTGCGCTGGGTACTCCCGCCTACAAGAACTACTTCGGCAACCCTAGCGGTACTCGCCAAGGCGGTATCACTGCGTCGATGCCTGCAGGTTCTCTCGTTGGTGCTCTGTCTTCCTCTTTCCTCGCCGATCGACTTTCGCGTAGGAACGCTGTACAAATCGCCGCCCTCATCTGGATTGTTGGCGCTATTCTGCAGGCCGCCTCCAACGGCGTTGCTCTCCTCTGTGTTGGTCGTCTTATTGGTGGGTACGCCATCGGTATCTGTTCCGCCATCGTTCCAGTGTACCAAGCCGAGATTGCGCCCAAAGAGATCCGAGGTAGAGTAGTGTCTTTGCAACAATGGGTATGTCACTCTTCGATAAAGGCTAGATCTCAAGCTAATTCCGCGTAGGCTATCACCTGGGGTATTTTGATCCAATACTTCATCCAATACGGCTGTTCCTTCGTCGATGGAGGCGTCAAAAATCCGAACCAGAGCACTGCGGCCTTTAGGATCCCATGGGGTGTCCAAGCTGTTCCTGGTGCTATCCTCTTCATCGGATTCTTCTTCTTCCCTCGCTCCCCTCGGTGGCTGGCTTCCAAGGACCGCTGGGAGGAGGCGCTACAGGTTCTTGCCAACCTCCACGGCGCCGGCAACGTCAACCACCCCAAGGTTCTTGCCGAATACAAGGAGATCGAAGAGGCGCTTGCGTTCGAGCGTGAGATTGCTGAGACTAGCTTCGCCGCCCTGGCCAAGCCTCGCATTGTCAAGCGTGTCATCCTTGGTATGTCCATCCAGATGTGGTCGCAACTTTGCGGTATGAACATCATGATGTACTACATCGTCTTCATCATGCGTGGAGCCGGTATTGCCGATGAGCTCCTTACTGCGTCAATTCAGTACATCATCAACGTCGCCATGACCCTACCAGCTATCCTCTACCTCGACAAGTTCGGTCGTCGGCCTGCTCTCCTCTGCGGATCCTTCATGATGGCTGTTTGGCTGTACACTACAGGTGCTCTGCAGGCTTCCTACGGTATTCCCAACCCAGACACTGCTGACAAAGACATCTCTTGGGTGGTACCTCGTGAGCATAGCGCCGTTTCCAAGGGTATTGTCGCTTGCTCATACCTCTTCGTGGCCACGTTTGCGACCACATGGGGCCCAACGTCATGGACATATCCGTCCGAGGTAAGTTCTTACTGTAAGGGATGCATATGAAACGTACACTGACTTGTTCTACCTCTGTAGATCTTCCCTGCCAAGGTTCGCGCGAAGGCCGTGTCGCTCGCTACCGCCGCCAATTGGAGCTGGAACTGCATTCTTGCTTTTGCCGTTCCCCCTCTTCTGTGGTCCATCAACTGGAAGATGTACATGATCTTCGGAACTTTCAACGCCGTTGCCTTCATCCACATGTTCCTGACTGCCCCAGAAACTAAGGGCAAGACCCTTGAAGAGATGGACGATGTTTTCGACTCTGGTCTTCCTGCCTGGAAGGCTGGCAAGGTTGAGTCGCGTCTCGACCGTGTCACCCGCGACATTGAGGCCGGCAACCTCAAGGTCGGACGTCACGGCCACGACCACGGTCATGTCGAGAATGTCCACGCTGAGCCCAAGGTCTAAACGGACATCTTTAGCGACATCGTCTCTACGATGACGAGTGCTGTATTTTGCCACGCTTTGGTTCCTGGTTACTGGGACTAGATAGGCTTTCCAGCGGTTTGTTGGGTTGCATTCGGTTATAGAGTTGCGACCATCGTCGATGACGCGGTTCACGACTCTACCTGAGCGACTTCAAGTTGTTTAACTCGGACAGCCACGTAGCATAGTCCATGAATCCATTCACTAATCTCTTATTCCCACAATCGTACCTTACTATCCGGGTATAGAGTGTCAACAGCCATCACTAATCACGGAAGGCCTACACATGTAGCTTAGCTGACTTCGAGTGATAGGTTCGGGCTACAAGGGCGAAGCTATTATAGTCCGTCTTGGAAGACAAAAGCGCCGAAAAAGAGCCGCATTGTCTTGGTGATGCGATACTGCGTTTCGCGTCCATGCAGGGGCTGTGTGAACCAAATTCCATCGTTATCAACGATTCCGATTGCGGATATGGGATGGCGCAAGCCCAAGATGTCGCAACACCAGGGCCAAGGGTGTTGGCGATATTAAGGCGCACGGGACCGACTCAGCGTGTTCAGCCGTCCACGGACCTCCTGCTCTCGACGAATGCTGTGGCAAGGTTATCGCAGGAACGAGGTCGAGTGGCTCGCTATTCAGCGCACGAGTGTGTAGGAAAACCTTCGCATGCGTTGCATATGCAAGAAACGACCAGAAGTTCTTCGCATGGACGCCTTATACCTGTTGATCCTTCTGGAAATACCGCAGAACGGCACGGAGATGGGCGAAATCGACCCAGGGTTTATTTCCATCATGGGGGCGGCCGACAGAGTTTCGCTTCGGTTGAGTCGCCGATTTGACGCGAAAGCGAAGAAACCACTCAGGTACAGGTGCAACCCAACTGGGCAGCAACGTAAGTTTAAACGCACGAGGGGTTTGAGTTCCGACTGGTTGCTTTTTCGCTTAAACATGCTGATCCGATGTTATCGATGATGGGGAAGCAGTACCCGCGCCCCGTTGTGGAAATCCACGATCATGCAATGCGCCACTAGGTGCCCGAGCCCAATCAACGATCACCAGGAACTAGCATTGGGGCTCTCAAATCCGCGCCCCCGTTCTGACCCCGTCTTCAGCTGTATGGTTCATGACATGGCCAAGTGTACCAAAAGCGCCACGAACCCGTCAGGCACCCATGCAACGAGTCAGTCTCTGGGGTAGTGTCCGCAACGCCTTCTGCTGTCTGCGTTCCTCTCATGATGAACCGTCTGCCACCACTGCAACCACACTGAATTATAGTTGCAACATGTTTGCTGATCAGCATCTTGCAGCAGCTGCGTCGATCAGCAAGGCCACCAACACTCTCTTTGATTGAAATACCCCAGGATTCCACGTGGATATCGGATTCTCCAGTTCAGTTCGCCATCTCAACGAATGCGCTCTCTACCTCACCCTCATTCGTCTCATTACTTTCGAAGTCGACGGAAAGACACCTGAATACCTTCACCATGTCGGACAAAGACTCAGAGTCCGGCGTCACTGGCGGCGTACAGGCCAGCATTCCTATCCTTATGACCATGTCTGCATTCCTCGCCATTGGAATGTACAACATGGTTGAGATCCTCTTCCTTATCTTCGCCGTCTTCAAACAACGCCGCGGGTTGTACTTCTGGAGTATGCTCATCGCCGCAGGAGGAATTGCCCCTCACGCTATTGGGTTCATCCTCAAGTTCTTCCAGGTCACGAAGCTTGACTTGCTTTCGAGCGCCATCATCGGCGTAGGCTGGGTCACGATGTGCCCAGGACAGTCTCTTGTACTGTACTCTCGCCTTCATCTTGTTGTCGCGGACGCCAGGAAGATCAGATGGGTGCTCTACATGATCATCTTCACCACGATCGCTCTCGGTGTTCCTCTATTTACCTTCGCCATGGGTGCGAACTCCAAAGATTCCCTCAAGTTTCTCCCGGGATTCGAGATCTACGATAAGGTCCAGATTGTTGCTATTTCAGTCCAGGGTAAGTGTTTCCATCCGAGCCGCGTGTGAGACAGACACTGACTTTATACGCCTGCAGAGATGGCCATATCGGTTATCTACATCTTCCGAACAGTAAAGATGCTTCGTGGAGATTGTGGTCGACGACGTGGATCTCTACGAAAGCTTTTCATCCACTTGATCATCGTCAATGTCGCAGTCCTGGCCTTCGACATTACGCTTATCGCAGTCCAATTCTCCGGCCACTACGAAATCCAAACCACATACAAGACGGCAATCTACAGCATCAAGCTCAAGATTGAGTTCTCTGTCCTCAACCGCCTTGTCAATCTTCTACAACACAAGAACCTCTTCGGCGATGGCGCTACACGTTGCCATGATGTGGAAAGGTGGACGGACAACAGGAGGACGTACAGCTCGAGCAACCGTGGCGGATTCACAAAGATGGAGGAGAGTGGCTCGATGGCTAATAGCGACAAACACTCTTCGGTCGTGGCATGCCCGGCCAAGGCCAGCTTCCGCATGACAGGGAAAGCTGATGTGGAGTTGGATGACATCATGGATGATGCTACGTTGTACTCGGAGGGCAGCAAGAGCCGAAATAACTCGGGCTGCCAGGGCGATTGTCGCAGTCAGTGTTGATACCCAGGTAGTGTACCGTAAAGGCAACCGCTTACTATATAACGAATGAAATAACGACATAATATACCCCACAACGCGTTCACGATGCGGTTGATTGTAGCTACGATGTGCATGTTGTCGTAAAGTCATGTGGGAACTTCGAACCATATGCAGAGAAAGCTCGAGGGTCATCTCCATGGACTCATGAGGCGCCAAAGACAACAGCACCAACGCCTAATTGGGGTACCAATTCTATAACACACCCATGCCGCGATATCGTAACAACAGCCCAGTCTTACCTGACACCAGGTGAGGTTGTCTCTCACTGCCCACAGCCACGTTTTGTCGCCACGCTCGTTGGCTAGCCTCTTACAAGTCATACAAACTGTCTATTGCGGTAGGGGCTTCTTCCATCCTCTATCAACTTAGGTTTACCCCAAAAGTCGATTCTTTTGGCATATTTCACTCAAACGCAACTACATAATCAGAAATGGGCGTTACCACGCAGCACCCAGCAACTCTACAGCCTGCGCAACCTCCACCAATGGCGGCCCCACAGAAGGTTACTTACTCCGACATGTTCCTCGATATGTAAGCAGGTGATGTCGCAGTCTGAAGCGACTTCTCTAATGCCAGAAAAAGGATTCAGGGCAGCTCCATCACGGTCATCGTTGGTCAACACCCATCATCTCGAACCTACACCCTTCCTGTCGCTCTACTCTGCGTCCATTCCATCTTCTTCCGCGACCAAATCGCTCGTATCAATGCCACGGTGTTGAAGGACCATACGGCTAGCAAAAAGCGCAAACACTCCACTTCCAATGATGACGTTGTGGTGATCAAGGAAGAAGATGGAGAGCTTGCCACAGAGGAAGACACGAAAGAGAACGCAAAGAATGAAGAGAACATCATCAGGTTGCCAGATGTGGATCCCGCCATCTTCGGTCTTTTCCTCAAGTTCATCTACAAGGACTCATATCCATCCAACGTGGACGCGAGGACTCTGCCAAACAATGCCCATGTTTACCCGAGGACAGCCAGCGCAAACACCGCTGCTTCCATTCCAGCGACAACACTGGCACCTCGTCAACCACCCACTCAGATGCCGTCTCACTTCCAGCCCAACTACCCGCTCACCCCCGCTCAACCCCCAACCCGAACAACCATGCCACCCCCTCCCATCCCATACAACATAACCTCTCCGCAACCCATCCCCCCCTCGATCCACGCCTGGCTCCTCGCCCAACGCCTCGGCGCCCTCTCCTTCATGAACCATACCATCCAACACATATACTCCGGTATAGGCCGTCACTTCGCCCTCACACCCACGCTCATCGACCACGTATGGCAGCAAACCACACCCTCATCTTCTCCCACATCAACAGTCCTAACACCCTCGCCCCTCCGCAACCTCCTCCTCCACACCCTGACGACCTACTGGTCGCAGCCGGGCCCGCAGCAGAACCCCAACGCTATTATCTTACGCTCGCTATCCGTGTCACATGGTCAAGGCCACTTCTCGACGGGTTTGAAAGACGCGTGGGACAGGCTGTTCAACGAGCACGAAGATTTGAGGAATGAGTTCATCCATGGGCTGCAGGCGGGTCCGGGGCAGTTGGGGGCTGTGGGGTCGTATTTTGCTAGTTCTTCACCTGCACCGGTCGCAGTGGGGGTTATGGGTGATAGGCGAGAAGTTATCAAGGGAAAGGAGAAAGGGAAAGATGGGGGTGGTTGGAGGTCGGACGAGCATGTGGTTCTTATCAAGGAGGAGAACAACGATGAGATGAAGGTTGTGAATGAGACGAAGGCGGCTCGTGTCTAAGGGGGTGTTCCCTTTTTGCTGATGGATGTCTTCTTGGACGACACGAAAAGTTTGGTGGGCGGATTCGGCGTCCAAAGCGTACAAAAGCGAACGGCTTAGGCCAACTATGATTTTTAGGCAAGGAAAAGTTGGCGTATCGATCATAGAGTCATCACTCCATCATACCTTATCTACGGTGATCGTCGGGTATTTACGTCCTTTGCTCAGTTCCTCGGCTCCTCGTCTGCTCATTACTTTACACACCCCATGATATCATTACTTCCGCCCCTGATCCAATCTTCCAATATACACGTCGTGACTTTTCGCAAACACCATGGATGTACGACCCTCAACGAGTCCAAGCATCAGCAACACGTTCCTGCCACTCATGCTCCATATCCTCTGCACACTGCTTGCAGACTCCCATACGGCAAACATCAATGTCGCACTCCCAAAGCTCTTCTTTGACATCTTCGTCGCAACGGTGGCAGAAAACAGGGACGGAGACATGCTGTTTGTAGCCAAAAGCGGTATGCAGGTACGGTCGGACTTCCAGGCTGTTGATGGCAACCTCATCGGGTACAGTCTTGAGGTTGATGGGGTGGAAGATGTGGCCGTTCTTGAGACAGTAGTGCTCTTTGGATGACGACCTGGGCAATAGAGGAGGTGTAGCGTGATCTTCTTTGGGAAATGGGGCAGGAGGAATTTGCTGGTCGGCAAGTACATCGAGGTCGAGACGTTCGGAAAGAGGGCGTTGTTTGGTGTGGTCGTAGTCAGACATCCAGTCCTGGACAAGAAGACGTGACTCGTCGCGCGGCAGCTTCACTTTCTTGTCCTTGTCGAGGCGGTTGAACTCGCTAGCGGAAAGAGGGCCATGCATTACGGTAGGCTGGACTCTGTTAGTTGCATCTGTAGTAGTTGAGAGATACTTACGCACCTCCACATGCTCACTGCGCTCGTTAAATGGACTGATCTTTTCGTCATGTTGAAAGTAGTAGGTAGGTTTGAAGGGGGCCTTGAGCTGACTAGATAGGGCTAGCAGGGGCAGTGGGTTAGGTGGGGCAACCGGTGCGAGTCGTGTGGGTGGTGCAGGCGGTGCCAGAGGTACAGCTGGTTTCTTCCTCCTAGGTGGAATATCGACAAGCTTGACCATACCGGGTGTGACCCGCATGAAGGGTACGGTCGTGGCGTCATGTAAGGTGGGCTCTTCGTCCAAGTCATCCTCGTCGTCGCTGTCGACCTGGCTATCCGCACCACCGCAGAGCTCGCACTCTCCTGGAGCGGCGTGACAACGCTGTGCGGCTGCGAAATCCGCTTTCATGGCCTCGTTAGACACCTTCAAGGTAGCGTATGTGTCGTCGAGAGTGAGTCTATCATCGTCGTTTTGGTCTAGCACAGCCTTGCTAAGTGCTAGTCGCGTCTCTGCCTCCTCAAGCAAACGGTCTTCAACCGTTTGCAGTGGGCCGCGGAGGCGGAACACCGTAGATTCCAGAATTGCGCCATTTTTGACGTCAACCTCGTTACCAGGATGGGCCGCGAAGTCTTCTTGTTCGTCTCGAGCCGCCTCGTCAATGACTTCGTCTGTGAATGAGAGGTCGTCCTCTTCCAACTCGTACCTGGTATCTGTTGTGAGCAACGACTCATTACGCGACCAAGCAAGCTGTGCCTTGGGAGGGGCTTTTGCGTACTCAGAGATATCGTTCAGCTCAGGATCATGTTCGCTGGTTTTGTAGGACGTGCGCAGCTCATCGTGTGACGTCTCCGTAATGGGCGCCATCCTCTCGAGCTCCTTAGGAAGCTTCTTGCGCATACGCCTTCTCGGAGCTTCGGGAACAACGGCCGGAACTGATGGGAGCGAACGGAACTGGCCATGGCGTTCGGCGTCGCTACTACGGTATGTATCAGTATGTTCTTCTGGACGCCACGCTAGAGAAACAGCTGCGACGCGCCCCATGTCGGCTTCACGGCTAGCATTAGATGGTGCAGATGGGAGTAAGCCTAACATTCGCTGAGCTTTCCGGTTAGTGTTGCCCCAGAAGCCCTTGGGCTTTGATGGCTCCATGTCAAGGCCCTCTTCCGTGAATCTCGTCTGTCTGTCCGACGCGCTCTTCTGAGTGGTTATTGCCGACATAGAGCCTCGCCTTGTCGATACCGGGCGTATCGGTAGGCTATCGTAGCCGCCATCGTTCTGGGCTGGACGGCCCACAGAGGTACTCCGGGGTCTACCAGGGCTAGGTCCAGTGTCCACGCCCAGCAACTGTGCAGCCTTGATAGGCGTCAACGGCGGTAGAGGCGACAGCTGGGGAGTAGGCTCATGGGAGCTGCTCGGGCGGTCTTGGTCCCTTGCCTTGCGGCCGAATTTGCCATGCCTTTTCTTGCCCTCCGTGGCTGCTGTTGGTGCGCTTCCTGTTGTGGGTGTAGGCGAATGGGCGGCCGGCATATTCGAAAAGCCATCGGATGGGCGCACTGGGAGAGGACGATGACGGTCGCCTGGAGGGCCACTGCTGTGTACGTAGGAGTTGACCATAGGATTCGAGGGCGCAGAAGGAGGTGAAACATGAGAATGTTCAACTTGATCCGTATGCTGTGCTGCGGTGACACCACTCGCATTCTCCCTCCCGGCGAGTGAGTCAAGACCGAGATTGGGCGTAGTGTTGAAGCGCGGTGCGTTGGAACGGCGCGTGTTGCGGCGTCTCTGGCCGCCAACCATCACGGCGGCAGGGCGCATGCTCCACGCGGGGTTGGCGGAATCAGGTACGACCATTATCCCAAAAGAGATATATTTTCGTGTACTGTAAGGTAGTGCCGATTGGCGGTGGTGCAGGTGCGCGATTCGAGTGCGACGAGGCAATCAAACCAGAACGAAACCAGCGACCCGGACCAAAGCAGGAGCGCAACAGCTATCGGTGCATTGGGAAATCGCAATCGGGTTGCAGTTGTGGAATGTGGTGATCCACTCAAGTGGTGACTCGACCACAACAAACCGAGCTTGGAGCTCTGTCCACCAACAAGCGGAGCGTGTTGCCGCACAATAGCGGCAGTGAATGGGGAAGGCGCGGCATAAAGATGACGTAGGCGAGGAGAAGCTCGAGACCAGCGAGTGAAGGAGGAAATGAGAGAATCAGTCGCTTCCGATATGTTTACTACGTACGGTGACGCCTCTTGAAAAGACACAGATTTGGGAAGGAGCATGTTGCGACGGGAAAGAACGACTCCGAAGAAGAGAATCATAGAGTAAATAGAGTTAAACGACGCTACGAGAAAAAGAAGACCTTTGCTCCTACAAACCATGTAATAAGATCTGGGGGTATCTTTGTGTACGCGATTGTGCTACGGTCCATGACTTCGCTCGTGTAGCATCCGTCTCTGTGCACTGATCTCAAACCCAACGTCACGTAACACCCACTGCACCCGAGACCGAAAACGCTTGATTGACCTTCACAAGAAGTCGAAGAATAGACGAGGGAAAATCTCTGAACCCGTGCTACACGCTGGAAACGCGGATGTTGTCTCGACGTCGCAACTTCCAACTCCTGCGTCTAAGGCCTGCCATCGCTTGTCTGAACCACCGACGAACTCTATGCTACGAGCCCGTTGTATGTTTGTCGCTCTTGGGGCTGCTAAGCCTCGCGACCTGCTCAGTGACCGTGCTCCCACTTCTTGCTCGTCCAGCCTCTGGCGACGCAGGGATATCGATAGAACTCCTCAACCCAACTCCGCTGATCCTACCAGCAGGTGTTACTGGTCTTGCTTCCTCAGGAGCTTTGGGTGGTTCGCCAGTCGACTCCATGGAATCCGGTTCGCGGGTCAATGTAGCTGACTTCGATGACTTGCTGCTGGGACTTGCGCCAAGACCTCGGTGAACCTCAAGTGTGCTGGATCCATGGAGGAAGTCAGAGATATCTGCATCGCTCGTGCCTTTGCCATCCGGTGTTTTGGGTGGACCTCCGGAAGGACTTCGCGGGCTTCTGGGCATGTTAGGCTGGAAGAACTTCTGGACAGCGTTGCGGTCATCCACTTCATCCTCCTCGTCACTAGTCTCCCCAAAGTAAATACTGTCCCAATCGCCCGAGCCCACACTACGGGTCGAGTCGGTCGTATTCGATCTCTTGGGTATCCTTAGACTGGGCGGCTTGAGCGGGGCTAGTTCGTCCGCGACTTCCCTCATCTCGCTGTCAGTGCGCTCGATAGGTGGCTGCAGTCGCTCCTGTCCCTTGACGTGTTCGCCGTCTTCGTTAATGGGCTTGTTCACGGCTTGTGCACGATCAAGGGCGGGCTCCTCTTCATCCCGCGTGTTTGCAGAGTAAGTGTCTGCGAAGTGCGTATCGCAAAGGTGCTTGACGACAGGCCAACCATAAGCATTAGCAAACATGCGACGTACTATCATGTTGTTATGAGCGTCGGGCTCAAGGCTGACGAGAACCTTACGCCAAGAAAGGTCCTTATGATAAGCGCGAGCGATCTTCTCTTCCACGCGCATCACACTCTCGTCGACACTTGTTGTCGATGCTTTGGAAGCAGTACTGTCACCAGAAAAGTTGCGGACTGGCTTCGTTTTCGTGGGTGGTGGAGGAATGTCTTCAGGATGGTAGATTCTGTCGTGGAAGATAGTGCGTGCTCGTGTGGATGGGTCTGTGATCCAGGATTGGGGAGGAACAGGAGGGTTGATCAAGTCACCAGCAGACTCGAAGATGGTCGTTTTGGGTGGTGCTAGGTGACTTTTGGGGTTATCGACAATTGAGTCTCCACGGGTTGCTTGGGGTCGCTTCCTTGGTTGTGCGCTATGTGACGATGTCGCGTGATCTGCTTCAGCCGGAGAAAGCTCGTCTTCTTCGTCTTTCCCAATAGTCTGACTACGACTAAACATCTTCTTGTCGCGCGAAGTGTGCTTTCCAGTCGGTCTGATGTAGCTCCACCACTGCATCAAAGTGTTTTGCGGCTGAAAGTACTGGTCGTTCGGCTCCTTGGCTTCTGGACTCTTCTTCCCTCCTTCGATGGCCTGATGGGCTGTTGGCTCTGCAGTGGATACTTGTACTTCGTCTTCCTGATTTGTGACGTCGGCGCCTGGCAGAGGCACGGTAGTATCGTTGCCATTATAGGTCGGCGATTCGACCCCAGAACCCTCATCGTCCGAGAATCCAATTCTAGAGGGATTGGGCGAAGAGTTTTGCCCAGTGATCTGGCCGTAGCCCCAAACCGCTACCGTGCCGATGAGACCGTTTTCTCTACGAGCCTTCTCAACCCGACCCAAGCCTCTCCAATCCAAGAACAGAAGGCAACTCGTGCGCAATGGTACTATACCATCATTGACAACATTGGAGTACAAAGTACGGTTTCGGAATCTTCGCAGGACTTGGTGCGCTGGGCCTGTAGGCAGGATGCGCAGCAGAGGCTTTGCGCCAGGATCTTCCTGATGCTGATCATGCGTCTGATTACCAAACACGTTACCCATAGCCGTCCAGCCGCTCTTTGCCAATGTCGGTGCTCTCCAAGTAAGGCCGAGATCCTGGCCTGTCCTACCCACTAGGCCAAAGTCCAGAGCAAATTTCACATATGTGGGGTTCTCGTTGCTCAGTCCTAAGAATGGAGACGCCATAGCGATAAAGTTGATGGGCTTGATTGTGTCGAAGAAGTTGGGAGAGTGTTTGTGGATGTATGCGATTGCGTACGTCTGTACCAGTCCTCCGAGAGAGTGGCCGATGAAGCTGATGCTTGTGAATTTGTATGCGCGCTTGTCATGCCCGGGGGATGTGTGCATCACACTGCTACCGTGATGGGACGGTATGCCTTCGTCTGGCTTGTCTTTCGTTGGCGAAAATGTATTGGACAACTTCTGCCCCATGGACTTCTTGATCGGCAGGTATGGTTGATCAGGGTAGGTCAGGTTCAACACGTACTTAGCGAGCCGCTTCCCGAGATACTGGATGCCACGTTCTGTACGTATCACGTTGCCGTCGAAACCTCGAACAATCACATCTTCTTCATCGTCATCCTCCTCATCATCTGGTATGTCCTCTTGGCCGCCTGACAGTGGTGCTGTTGACGCATCTTGATCCGATCCGGTCTTCTTGGCTCCTCTTTCCTCTCTTCGCCGCCGTCTTCGATCTTCCCGCGCTTGCTTTGCCGTCGCATCAATACTCTCTTTCAGATATAACATGTCCGCGCCGAGATTGCTGTGTAGACCATGCGTTACTATCACAAGGTGTATGTTCTTCTTCTTCTGCCGGCTCTCCGTCGGACTACTGTGATCTTTCGACTTTCTTGATGAGACCTCGTCCTCCTCTTTCCACTCTGGTAGCTCCGGAGTATTCCATAAGCTTGTAGTGTCATCAACGACCAGCTTGACTGCCTTTGAATACACCCCCTTAGGCTGTGCCGGATGGTGCGAAACGTGTTTCTGGCTGCCCTGTTGGTGGTCTTGCACCTTTCCTGGCGTTCCATGGCTATTGCCAGTGACAGCAGTGAAGCCTAGGTCCAGCGATCGTTCGTCGCGTGCCACCAACAACTCGTAGTTTACAGACGCGGAATTGGAGAAGATGATTTGCGACGCGATCTCGATGATCCATGTGAGGCTCTTCGGGGTGCCGTCATCCTCCCTAATATCGCTTCTGTACTGTTCCGGAACAGTCAACTTGGTGTTCCAGTATCCACCAGCCTTGACATTAGGCTCAAAGTCAGGCTCGCCGTATGTTGCGTCGGACTTTTTGTTCGGGTTGAATGTTGAAGGGTAGGCGGATACGTGAATCGTGTATGGCCCGTGGAGGTATGCGGCGCGTAGTGGTATGGCGGAAGAGTTTCGTATGCGAACGTGGAGGGAGGAAGGAGGCGGTAATATGCGGTCTTCGGAGGGGGTGTAAGTGAGCGTGTATCTGCATGGTGACTTAGTAACCCGTCCTACAATCTCCCTAAACGTTGTCGCGCACTGCCCATCTCGTATAGACAGTGCGTACAGCGTCCATGCCATCCCGCCGGCAGACCCTGAGAACTCACCTCACAACCTCTCCCACCTTGACGCTCCCCTTTTGATGCAGCAGCAACATCTTCAGCGCGCGCTTTTCCTCGGCTTCGCGTTCCTTCCGCGACTTGACACACACAAAGTACGAGGGTTCAGGGCGTTTGCGGCCCGTGTCGGCGATGTGAGCGAGGGAGTAGGTGCGAGGCGTGAGCAGCATTTAGCGGATCCAGCGGAGACCGGTACGACCAATGGACAACAGCCACAGGCGCGTCATAGGACATGAGTAGTTGTGGCTGATCGCTCCGTACGAAATAAATATGGAGCCCAGCGAACGTCGCGATGGCCGGAAGGTGATGATGTATGTAGACTGCGAAGTTCAGCGACCTGGCGATGGTCACGCACGCGCTCGTCGGAGATCGTCGCACGTCATTGCTCGCGTGGCAGGCGCGCTGCACGAGGGAGCTGGCAGGTGTATCCCGACCGAGATCGATCTGCGTGGTTTCACCATTTTGACAGGCTTACAGAAGCTTGACGGATATGTCAGATGCAGCATCAGATAAGCGATGATTTGTTGGGCGTGTTTTACGCGTTCTCGGGTTCCAAGACACGCCCTGCGCCTTCGTCGGAACGCTGCTCGGCCAATTCCGACCTCATTCCCCCAGCCTCCTTTCGACACCTTCATCGCGACTGATCCGCGGCATACGTACAGCACATCGAGTGACCGCAGGCTTCCTTTTTGTCAATAATTCTGTCAGATCTGAGTAAGGTGTATACCTCATCGTGCTTTCCAGATTGACGCGGTACCCTGCATGAGGACGTCTGTAGACCCTCAGGTACTGATTAGCGCAGACACGTATTCGGCAACTTGCTTTTCAGATCATCGCAGTACATGTCCTACGTATGCCTGGAGACTCTCAGGTCCTTTCTAGGTCACGAATTAATCACGAAGATGACGCGTGGAGAACTTCGACAATCTATCACGGAGTTGGACGCAGCGTGAGTACACATTCTTCTCACCAACATCATCGTTTTAGGTTCGACTCCAGATTGAAAACCAATTGTATACTTTCAAGATCTATCTCAAAATGTCTAGGGGTATTCGCATTATCATCCCAAGCGCCTTGCTAAATCGATCCCGAATGCAAGACTCCTTTCACAAACCAAGACTCCAGAAAGCAAATACGTAGGAAAGTGTAGGCCCCTCCTCCATCTCAAGCCGCTCCAGAACCGGGAGAGCCGCCGCTAGGAGAGCCAGCTGGACCCTTGCCCTTGCCGAAGGAGGGTGACGTCGGTGACTGTGGAGATCCTTGACCTCGTCTGGAGCCAGCTGAGCCGCGACCTCGAGGAGTGTTGGAGCCGCGACCAGCTGAGCCACGACCAGATCCTGGTTGACCGCCAGAGCTGGGGCCTCGTGGAGTTGAAGGACTGCCGCGACCGCGACCGCCAGAAGGAGGTGACATAGCAGGGCTGCCCCGTGTACCTTGGAAGAATTAGCCTGGTATGAAGAGAGATGTGACGAGGTTGCTACTTACTTCTCGAAGGAGTCGAAGGTGGCTGCTCGACGCGATCGAATACAGCATCGCCCGCGGTCTCATATTCCTCTTCGGCATCTGTGATGTGTCAGTGTCCAAATTCTCTCTCGTCAACATATATTTCACTAACCTTCACCCAGATCCTCTCCAGGCAAGCGATCGCCCCTCACCAGCGAAGCATGCTCCTCCATCTGGATTTCCCAATACTGGTGCTCAAACGCGCCGAACTTGGGACGACCAGGTTGCGTGTACTGGAACTTGACTCGGCGACCAGTAGGCGGGTCGAATACGCGGTAGCCCGAGTCGTAGAACTGGAGAGCATCTCCCATGTTGCAGCGTACATAGTCCTTGCCTTGGAGTATAATGAAGCTCCTGGCGTTCTTGTCGCTGCCAGCTACCCAGGTTGCCTTGTCGAGGGAGGAGCCGTCGCCACCGTCGTTTGCACCTTGGGGGAGGGCGGTAGGTCCGTACTGAGGTGGATTGGACATGTCGGCTTGAAAGTGTGGTATCTGAGTTGTGTTGAGGGTGTGAGAGTTGTATATAGTAGTCGACTCGAAGGTATGGTATGCGAGATGTGGTTGAGGTCTGAAAGAGGTATAAATAGCAGAAGTGTACTGTCTATATCGAAGGACTGTTGATCAAGAAAAGAGTCAGGGAGGAAGCAGATCAGTGGTTTATATGGACACCCCAGATCCGAAGAAAGGAGCCCAAGACCGTTTGCTTCAGGCGTCAGGTGCATTATGGCGCCATTCTTCCCGTCTCTCACTTAGCAAAAGTGCCACAATGAAAGGTCTGAAGGCGCGGTAAAAGAGCGCTGCAAACAGCCTTCACTTGAGAAAGCGCGATGACGGCATCAATTCGCGGCGGAGGAGGAGCGGCGAAAGAGCGGAAAGACATCGGAGGAAAGAGCGGTGGTGGTGCGCCCCTGACATGATCTCGAAACTGACAATGTGGAAGACACGGAGTGGAGGATGTGAGCTGATGTACTAGGAGAGCCTCCGTTGCGACTTCATATACAAATATCCGCGCTTGCTTCTGGTGGGCACATGGCTAGAGCAAGCAGTTTCCTCCATGTTGCGCCTATGACAATCTTCTTGAGCAAGCTCGACGATGTTCTCAGTTCCACGTTGCTACGCAAACGACGGCGAAATAGTCTATCACACGAGCATCTTATTGTAAAGCAATTCAGGGTCAGAAGACTCAGTGGACATCCATCGATTTGTGGTATAGGGAATTACGGTTGCATTGCATGATGCCACATAGCATTAAGACTCGTTTATCGTACTAGAGCTCGACCTTTCCTACTCAGAAAACAGACTGTCGAGGATCATGCCGTACGCCTCCGCCGCCTGCACAAGTTCATCTTGACTCAACATCTCATCAGGCGTATGCGCAACCTCAATTGTGCCTGTACCAAACAGATACTTCTTATCCACTTGCGGCAAGCTGGGAATATCCGTTCCAAAGAACACAGGCGCGACTTCCAGGCCCTCAACATCAGTGTCGAGGATGACAGCTGGATACCTAGCATTCGAGAAGACGACCTCGAAACTAGCGTTTTCCCCCTTTGCGCGCGTCTCGAACGGCGAGAGCATTCCAGCGATCATGTCTTGCACAAGATCGACTGCGTCGTCTTCGCTGCGAGCTATTCTAACGGCGATGCTTGCGTTAGCATGGTCGGGAACGACATTGCTAGCGACTCCACCTGCAACAAGTCCAGCGTTGAGAGTTGTTGCGCCTAGTAGCTCACTTCTCGGTAGAGCCGGTTCAAGCATGTTCAGTCCAACAATGGCTTCGGCGAGATAATTGATGGCGCTCACACCGAGCCAGGGATATGCGGAGTGAGACGAACGGCCTGTGATATCCAAGCTCACACCCAGATATCCTTTGTGTCCGCTAGCTAGCTTGCCTTCCGTTGGTTCGCCGAAGATACCTGCGCGGAAGGTGGTGTTGGATGCGTACTCGGCAAAGGCTCTCATTCCGGCGCCACCAGTCTCTTCTGCGACAACGAATAGCATGCCTAGACTAGGCGTATTGGTTCTGGATTGGAAGAGCTTGTGGGAGGCGATGATCATGGTTGCCACGGGGCCCTTTGCGTCGACCGAGCCACGACCGAAGTGGTAGACTGTGCCATTCTCTTCCTTGCGCTCGAATGGGTAGAATGGAGGCACCTAATTCTGTGTCAGAATTTGTTGTTGGAGCATGTCTCGGGTCGATTATACTTACAGTGTCGATATGACTAGTGATCAGAACCTCCGGCCAAACTCCCTCATCTTTGAGCTCTTGGGGATAAGCGAAGACGTTGAAAGTGCCAGTGTCTCCAGCAGGGATTTCTTCGACGTAGTACCCCAGATCTGAGAGATATTTTGATATAAACTCCGCGCATTCGACTTCATCCCCAGAGATAGAGGGGATGTTGACTAGCTCTTCATGAAGACTGTACAGATCTTCCGTCTCCTCAGTAGTAAGAGTCGCTGAACTTGATGCGGATGGACTGGGAGAGTTCACAGCCGACGGTGACACTGAAGCTTGCGGTGCTGCTATGGTCAACCCCAGGGATGCCAGAGCTGCCAGAGCTTTGATGACGACCATCTTGGCGTTTAGTATGAGTATTGGCACTTCGAGTATGTTTCTGCTACTTGTGAACTAAGGGCATACCGCATTCTTATATCTTCAGCACAGCCTTGAGACCTCGGAAGTTGAACTCCAATCCGCGATGAGGCAATCCGCCTTAGTCAGGACCTACGCTGAATTAACGCTCGAGACGACAGGGTCTAACGCGAGGTATGGATACTTGAAGGTTGGCGTACGTCGTTCGGCATCTGAGTTCCTCGCTTCGAGGTTTGCGGAACGTTCTATCGTGGCGTAGCCAAGAAGCCATATCTCCTAGAGATACAGTGAAGACGTTTTACTGGAGTGTCGACGGACTACAAGCACAAGCCAAGGACATCGTTGCAAACTAACGCATCTAGCTTGATATGATGGAAGAAGATAGCTGGTTTACGTAACCCTTGCTGCATTCTATTGTTCACGATAGCTTCTTCTTACGTGGTTTGGAGAAGAACGGGATGATGTCAACCGCGACAACGGCCGCAAACGCGGGGTGCGGAGCTGTTATCGAGCGCAGGGCTCTGATAAGCGGTATCTTGGCGCCATGGCAGCATAAGAAGCGTCTTGGTAGTTTCCCCGGCCTGCCATTTCGGATGTTTGTAAGGCGAGGGTTGTAAAAGCGGTACGAGTATCGGACGTGGGCGCGTCAAATAGTGGATGAGCGCAACAGGGTGCCGAGCGCTGTCAGATATGTAGATGGGCTGGTCCTTCGCTAACCTCGTGTATCTGTTCTATCCAATTTTCGAAAAAGGAAGTATATAGTAACTGCACCGTGCATTCGCGTGGGAAGGAACGGTATCGTGATGATGCTATCGCCGTTAATGGTAGTTATCGTTTTGCACAAGGCACCAGAACGTGGCTGAGGACACCGAAGTGGAAGGTATCGGAGCAAAAAAGCGCTGATGAGTATAGGGGAACATGAAGAGACGGAAGGCATGAAAGAATCGACATATTGAAGTGGTGGTGGTGGTAGCTGCCATGATTGGGCCGACACGCGTTCGCGACGTGAGTTCGATGGGGAAGTCGCGACCGCAACTACCGCCAACAACAATGGGAACCCACGTATAGCTAGTCAGTGTGAGAGTCTAATGTCCCTGATCATGATCCCTAGCACCGCGATTAGACTCTCTTTGCAGCAGCTGACGTTCGGGAGCTCACACACAAAGGACCGAAAGTGGATAGCGCGCCGCCCTTGACCGCCGACTGACGACTGACGTACATCGGATGGATCATCAGCCTGAGCCACTCCACATCTCCGCCCGCGTATCCGTGAGGCTTGAGCTTTCGCTACCTGTAGGTCCTGGTCCTGCATCTCTCACCTAAACACCTACACCCAAAGAAGACGCCCAACGACTGCAATCATGTTCGGCTTCGTCGCCGACGGTTTGACGTAAGTATTACCCCGCCCCCGCCTGCAGCTGCCAATTCTCCAACAAACTTTGGGGCCTGACGAAGTATCGTGAGCTCGCCGCTTGCTTTCTTGGAGCTCGCATGACTGCGATATGCAGCATTTTCTTTTTGCTGCGACGTATTCGCAGAGAACCTAGCTAATACGGCGATAGCGTTGCAACCACCGTCTTCTTCCCTATCTTCGCCTCCTACAAAGCTCTTCACACCTCGGATCCAGCCCTCCTCGCACCCTGGCTGATCTACTTCGTCGTCCTCTCTGCCTTCACCGCCGTAGAGAACACCTTCGACTTCATCCTCAGCTGGGTGCCCTTCTACTCATGGATTCGCTTCTTCGCACATCTTTACTTGATCCTGCCTGGTTCGCAGGGCGCAAACTACCTGTACCAGGAGTACATGGAGCCTTTCCTTTACCACCATGAGCGAGAGATCGACGAGTTTATTACACAAAGCCATGACCGTGCCAAATCGGCAGGTATGGCATACGTCGAGATGGGCATCGAGTGGGTCAAGGTCAACGTTCTGGGCTTCGCACCTGGAAAGCCGCAGTCACCAAGACCCGAAGGGCAGACGTACGCACAAAACCTTATGAGCAGGTTCCAGATGCCTTCGGCAAGGGGCAGCAACGATCTATACGGACTCGTCAACCAAGCACTCAGCGGAGCCAGCGCACTTTACGGTGCCGGTAGCGCAGGCACTCGAGATGCGCAAGCCTCAGATCTGAGCCGCGGCGCCGGTAACCTCGTCCCAGACTCCATCCGCAACAACAACGACCGACTCGACTACGTTGCGTCGCAACGCCAGCGCCTCGAGACCCTCCTGCAAGCATTCGACCGCGAACAAGAAAACATCCGCACACAACAAACAGGCGGAAGCAGATACCATGAAGTCAACAGGAGTACTGGAAGCCTCTCTGGTAGCCTCTCCCGTAACAGGAGCGAAGCGGAATTCGACAGGATCGAGCGCGACGAACTGAGCTCGGGCTCCGACCGACCACCGTACCCCCTCACACCACCCGCACTCGGTCGAAGGACAAGCAGTGGCTGGATGCCGTGGAATTGGCAGCGTCAGGAACTCCCACGAGATGACCCGTTGGCTTACGGTAGGGAGCCAAGTGATGTGAGGAACAGATCCAGGGCCTCTGGTTTCGATCTGGGCGACCGCTAGAAGAATCCCTGGAGGACAAAATCGGGGATATGATGGGGATATTTCACGGCGTTTGGGCAACATGGTAGATGGTATTCTGCTAGGCTTCACAGGTACACTGAAGCTGTGTATATTTGGTATCCCAATTCATGAGTACGAGTAGGACTAGTCGTCCTGGTGATGTTACAACGTATGCGTACAACCACGGTTGGCTTGCGTGAGGTTCTATGCCTGGTTTCCCTGAGATTGGGTCTATTCCCTTCTAGCTATATGATTCCCGGCATGACTCAAGCCCACTTACAACTTCACCTCCTTGTACGGATACTTGGCGGTATCGTCCTTCCTCAGCACAATCTTCCTCTTCTTCTTCGTACTCGCGTGCTCCACCCACACCTCCTTCGTCATCTTATTCGTAAAATCCCGAATGAAGCGCGGATCCCAGAGTTCAGACGCGATACCCAGGTCTTTGCAACATCGCATCAGGGCGTTCGATTTGCAGCCTTCGGTCGCAGTGGGAATGCCGTCGGGGTCGAAGTATTGTTGCTCGCCACGGGCGATGGAGACAAGTCTGAGTTATGATTAGCACAAATTCAATAACATAGCGAAAGGGTAGGAAGAGCAACATACCGTCCCTGCACAATAAGTCCATACTCCCTCGTCACCAACTTCCCAGTTACAATACTCTCGCCTCTCGGCGCGAGACCCCAGCCTCCAGGTCCAAACGCCTTGTTCAATATCCGCCTGTACTTGATTTCAGGCAGATATATAATACCGTCGGGCTTCACCTCTACGTCATCCTGTGTAATGGGCGCGAGTAGCAATTCTCCTTGTTCGGGTGTGAAGGATACAGAGCCAAGACCGTGGTATGACCGTGTCCAGTCTATCGCTGGCACGCCTTCCAGCTCGGGCGGGGCATCGGATAGTCCGTCGGTAAGCGAGCGCTGTTTGCGGGCCGCTGTTGCTGCGCTTTCTGCGGTGGCATTACGTGTTGTTGGTATGGGTGGTTCTTTAGCGACAAACTGCGGTTGTACTGTCCGCTGTGGGGTCGCTGTGGTCGCGGGTTTTGCCGCTGTTGACGCTGTAGTTGCTGGCTTGGCAGCTGTGGAGGTACTGGTTGTGCTTGTCGTGCTCGTCGCTGCTGGCCTGGGTGCAGTCGCGTATGCGGCGAAGATGCGGGACGAGGTGAAGCCCCGCTGCTGTATCCGATTGGCGATTGTTCTTGATGACGAAGCGGAGAGCAGGGCGGAGACGCCTCTGCGTGCTGGGGTCGCTGCCATTGTGACGTGCAAGGGTAGGTGGGGTTGATTTGTTGCCCTTGGGACGGAAACGCCTCAACGCGAAGTCACGATCTGATAGCCGCACGGGCCATGTCTGCGTACACGATGGCGGTGCATTCCAGCTGTTTGCCGATTTCACCGACTATGCTCATGGGCGAATCATCATCATTCGCATTAGCATTGCACATGTTCAGATGACGACTACTTCTGGGCGTCGCGTTTTCGTTTGGTCGTTCTCGTTTGGCCATTTTCGTTTGGTCCTTTCCGCATAGGTTTGGCTGTGTACGTTCGGGTTTGTGCATTCCCGAGGTCGTGTGGTGAGATATGACGACTACGTCGCTGCTACTGACATTGCTTGCAACTCGGCTCCGATAGTGACATCCAAAATTTGCAGTTTGGGGATAGCTATTTACCAGGTGTACAGATCTGCCAGGGAGCTTGTCCGAATGCGCATGCGAGAGCGATTCGAAGGTCCGGAAGAGTACCCATGCTGATCACCCGGTTTCCCCACAGCATCGTATGCAACGTATAAACTCAATTCTCCGAGCGATCGGCCGGTGAGCGAGTAAACGGACGAAAGTGTCCTATCGGATCCTGCCACACCCTGAAACATATTTGGCAGGTTTCACATGTCATATTACGCCCTGATGTACGAAGAACAACAACCAGGCTGCGCCCAGCCCGCACAGCCATCTGCCAGACCTGATTGCCGACCCTCCGAGGGAGTGGGTTCTGGACAAGCTTAATGATCCTGATTAACCGTAGGAAAGACCCTCCCTACGGATAGTCGACTCGCGTCAAATGCCTCATTAGGTGCGACATTTGGGCTCCTCCAGCCGATCACTTGACAATGGGTGCCTGGCTACTGGCTACCGACGTCAACGGTACTAGGCGAGCTGGCTGTGTCCCGTCTCGGCATGGCACGCGTCAACCTACTCCGTTTCTTTTAGTGCGACGAATGTAGTGCTTGTACTCGTCTGTACTTAAAGCTTGCGCGTGCCCTGCATCAAGATCATCATATGGTGGCTGAATTCCAAGCGTCATGTCTCCAACATCAACAAACGGTTCTTCGGGAATCGCGAAAGTCTTCAACATGGCCTCGATACCGCACATCGTTGGTTCTCTGATCGGTCTTGTAAGTACTGCTCGATT